TTCGTGTTCGTCCTTTGTGCATAAATCCAATCTGAGGCAGATTTGTGAAACTGGAACTGGGTTGTTGAGAGCCGTGAAAATAGAAGAAGCCCCCTGCAATGCCGCAATGGAAGGAGTCCCGTGGATTTGACTCGTGAGAAACACTCTTCAGCAGAGAGATACACAGCAGAAACGAGTCAATTGTGCTGGCTATTGGCCGTCAGAATAGAGATCATCGTGCCAAAGGGCAAGAGCAGTGATTTCCTATTATTCCGTCAGTTCCTGTTTTGCTCTTGTTTCCGTACAAACGATCCAGCTCAACAACGATGTGATTGCTTCGGACTGCTTTAAATTGCTTGCTCGTATTATTTTTATTGGCCCGTTTTACGATGTTTATAAAGGATGAGTCCTGCTCGGTTTGCTGCTTGTAAATCCGATTCCGCACAAGAGCAACAGTACATAAAATAACTGCGAACGCAAATTATTACACAATGTGATATCCATGATATTAATGTGATGAGGTCTTTTCTAGCTAACACACTGGAGTTTTTTGTTATGGGGAAAATCATTTCAATGGATTTTTGTGGGACGTGGTCAATGATACCCGCATCAGCTCATGATGGCAACAACACACCAACTTCCTTCCTTCCTGCGACTCAAAATTAATTCTCATCATGCAAGCCACCGTTTTCCAGGGATGTGACTGACTCAATGTTTTATCAGATTGAGGAAAGAACCGATGATGACGATTATGATAACGGGACGAGTCCACCAAGCAAAAACAACACTGATTCGTTTGACCCAAATCATGTCCACTGCATACGCGACATAATATGCACCCCATGAATTTACGCCAATTTTTTAAGTGCTTACGTTTCCATTTTCAAATGGCTGAAATAATAAACATTGTGTTTTATGTGGAAAGCCATGCAGCAGGAGAATTGAGAATGTACTCTTGAAATTAACAAAGCCCAGTAAAATCCTGACATCCCTATGCTACCCTTCAAAATGAGTTGCCTCACGAGGACGAGAATAATGGGCGAAGAGGGTGGAATCACATCAGAGTTTTCGTTTTGTTTATCAATAAACGACAAGTCCATGTTCCAAATCCGGCCGTGGTCGTCGGTCCAAGTCACCCGACCGACCCGTATTCATAATTCGGCATTATTATTGTGATTCCATTGTGACTGCTGCTGGTAGTTGGTGTTGTTGGTGTGTGTGTGGATCCCGTATCTCATTCAGCAGGCAGATTGACATCATTATGACTTCTCACTACCAACACTAAACCAAAATCACATCGTTTTCAGATGAGATCAACGGATCGAGAGTGAGTCGTGCGACGGCATAAATAAATTTTTCTCTCACTTCGATGAGTCCATTCAGAAGGGTCTCCTCTTATCAAAGCCCATGGCAAAGTTTTATTTTAAATACAAGTCCCCATTCCCCATTGGTGTGTGTGTGTTGTCTAAACTGGACTCATGCTGTCTCTTCCGAGGAATAATAATAATAATGAAATGACAACTAAAACTACTGATCGTGTTGTATGCAACCAACAATCCAACCACAACTATGTCACTCTTCTTCGACTGTTATCATGCACAACGTATGCTATCCGTTAATCTCTCTCGTTTTGTCTAGTTTCAATTTTATGTCCTCCTTGAACATCATTTCGGCTACAAATGGATGGTTATGTATACTTATAACAACGTGATTTAAACTGTTTTATTCCCTAGCGAATCTTTCCTAATAATTAAACTTATACTCATCCAGGCATTCGTTTGATCATCAAATTAATGCGTGTGTCAATGAAATGAGAGAGGAAGCCATGCAGAAACAAATTGCTGATAAAATTTACATTTAAAATTTTACCAGCGTAACTTAAATATCTGAATAATGGAGTCCCTTCTTAGCTTGTTTGTTTTGAAATCCGTAGTGATTTCAAATTCCAAGTTGACATAATTTAATAAGAGTCGTGGATTTCGTCAAAGAGCTTATTGTCAGTCATGCTGGAGAGGAGACCAAAATAAGTGTGCCCACCCCCGAGAAAAAGTGACCATATCGACCTACAGCAGTGTCCGAGAAGGAAGGTAATGATGACTCGTAATTGTTAAATTGTTGCGAGCAGGTAATTTGAGGTCGTTAACAGAATAAAAAGAGGTGAAGCCCCCCGGCCGAGTTTGCTAAGCACTTCGTCTCCTCACCCATGCTGAGAAATCTGACGGGAATAATTAAGTCTACAGTCTTAGGAGAAGAAATAAGGAAACTGGAGTGGCAAGTTAACTATATGTGCAGCCAACTAATTTCTCCCAACCCAGCCCACACATTTCAATTTTCACCCCACCAAAACTATCCTGCATGCTTCATACCTAGTCTAAACTTAAAAAGCGATAGTAGAGTAGACGACTATATTAGGTTAGTTTTAAGGAATTTGAAATTTCTTTTTATTCCATTGAAAAGCCAGTTAAATTTCACGTAGGAAACATGTATCAGACTTGAAAATATATTCCTCCTGTGACCATGAAAAATTGGTTACCAGAGGAGAAGCCTCTATCAAAAATACGCACGAAATTTATTGAAAAAGTGTATCATTCCCGGGTCAGAAATTTTTTTGTGACCCTGACACTTCGATGGGGCTCAGAACAGACCTTTTCCTCAACTTTAATCATGATTTGGCGGTGAAATCAATTTCGGTTCGAAAATACCAAGGACAAACTTAAATCGGAAATGAAGTCAGAAATAGATTTCGTCAGCCAGGTTTTCACGAATTTCACTGCATTTTTGCTGTGGGGCCCTGCACAAAGGTCGGTGGCTTTCCACCCAATATGGACTGATTGAGGGGGTGTTCCATCTTCATTATGACGCTAATCAAATATTTTTTTGAACTATCTCCTCTCCATACTCGAGGAAATTGGGCGGTTTTTGTCCGATTCCGCCGATTCCCGCCAAAACCATGAATGCAGCCCGATAAGATAACATTCGACCTCCTTTTCGTATTCAACTAACCCTAAGAATATTTAGCATAAATTCTGCTTCTTTTCTTGTGGAAATATGGTTCCGTCTTAAAGAAATTCCCATCGGTAAATGGAAAATTTTGTTTGTTTTTTTACCGTACCGCTGGGAGAGGGAGGTCAATTTATTGACCTTAGCTTATGTCTATGAAATCTGTAGCGCGTGATGCTTTCTACTATAAAAGGCCTCCATCTTAGGATCACTTTTCCGTGCTCATCTCATTTCTAAGGTTGAAAGGTCATTTGTATGGCCAAAGTCTTCGGCGTCAGAAAGAGATTTTATGCTATTCTGGCGTTCAAAGCTTCGGACATCACTGTAGTCCTCCTTGACCTTGGACAACCGGAACTTTTATGTCATAAATAGTCACAGTCCCTAGGGTTAATTTAATGTGTTGGGCAACCAGATCGTAGTTGTCCTTGAATTTCTACGTTATATCTAACATTGTGAATTTTTTGTCTCGCGTAAAAAGTGAAAACTTACTGTCGCGCGCGTGTGGTAAAGCTCCTCTAGCTTTTGACCTAGTGAAGTCTGGCAAATGAGGTTAACAACAATGATTGCCACTAAATGCAGGTACAAACTGCAACTTACATTTTAATTTTATGTCGACCGGGTCAAATACTACGCTCTACTATCACTTCTTATGGTTAGACTAGGTACATATGCCAATCACTTATTATTATTATTAAATATGTAGCATATTATTCTGCCGTTCAGAGTCCTCTTGTTCTCAGAGACCATATTTGCATATATGTAGCTCCTCTTTCTTGGTCGTTATATGCGTGTGTGGGGACGACACTTGACGACGGTATTTCATTTCATGAACATTGAGCTACACAACTTTTTAAATCCTGTCAACATGTTGGTTGACTAAATGAAACAGATAATGAGTTGAACTGTCCGAGCGACTGGTCTCCGCCCCCCTCACTTCTTGGCTCATTTAAACGAGTTCTCAGCATTATTAAAATATATTATTGTCGTTGGAAGAACGATGACGAGCGAGTCGAGGAAGAACGAAGGGCTTAAAAAATGTCGGACAATGTGACAATAATAATCTATCTATCCCATGATTATTTGGGTTATTGTCTTCCTTTTAAATGATGGTTGGTTGGATTGAATTTAAGCCTTTTCTTATTGCTACACATATTTCTTCCTGGCTAAATAATGCAATCATTCTCTTCTTCATAAAACACGACTGACTGACAATTGACAATTTTCTCTCTTTTGCGGTTGCCTTATTCCTTTCTAAATTACAATGTTTGTGGCATGAAGCTGTCATTTCGCCATGAGAAGAAGTAGAGTAACACACACACACATTCGTGGTAGCAGAAAGCCAATCCGCTAGAACGGGTTTAATGACTAATGGTCAAAATCTGTCATGTTCTAAAAGACGTACGATATGATGTGCACAGGTAAATACGTTCATAAAGGGAAAAGACCTACCACCATCATTTTGGTTTTTGGTAGTGCTGGTGGTAATACTGATAGATTTAGGCTCATACCTATGCATGCTTATTATTATGTGTGTATGTACATACATGTAGAGATATAGGTGTTAGCTTATTGGCCATAAGAAGGAGGTGGTAGTGGAAGTAGCATTAAGCAAATTCCCATTGTTATTAATAAGGGTCATTTACTCGTGTTGATATAAATCGATACAATGTTTGCATATGTAGCATATGGATTAGCTATCGGTAAAGGTAAAGCATTTGTCAGTGTCAAAGTCTTGGATGGACCCTTTCTTTGTGAATTTTGCTTCATTGTCTCATATTGTACGGCATGCATTGGCAAATGTACATACATGCGCTGCCGTAATCCCACGACTATAGATTATAAGATCATGCTGTCACCAGCAATAAATATGTAGACAATCGTTCTCGTTCGGAAATTCACAGGGTAATCCTTCCCAATTAATGAGCCTTTCTTCTACATGCAAAGGTGTGCATAATGATGAATAATCGTATATGTAAACCAATGGATGCAGAAATAAATTCCAGTTTAGATAAATCACGTACTTTCGAAACTTTGATAATAATTTATCGACTTTAATTCATTTCTCTTTAATAAATAACAACTGCATTGCAACAACAGTAAAAGTTAATGTAACAACGTGTGTATAATAATATGATAAGTACGTACAATCTTATGTTCACATTTTTCATAAATAAATACATTGAGTGGATAACGAAATATGAGATTCGGTAATTACTAAACTAAATATGTGTCATCTTAGGCGGTAATAAATAGCAGTCGTCGTTCCTATATTTTGATTATTTTGACTATCATCACCAAAACCGTGTGGATTGCTGGCAACTAAAAAAGACTGACGAAAAAGAGTACAAAATACTATCTAAAAGCGACTGAATACTATAATCTGTGTCATTATGTGTAAGAGGCGTTTCCCACAAAGTTTTTGATTGCACCAACTACAAACGACCCTCCGCACTCACATTCAGTTTGAAACTTTAATGAAATTATAAAACTGATGAAAAGAAAATTTTGAAATGGCCACTGTAATAAATTGTACAACTGCGTGCATGTGTGTATTTTGGGATGCAAGGGTCACTGGCTGCCATTACACGATAATGTGGTTGAATGAATGAGAAATGGAATATTTATTGCTTGGGAGAAGCACTAAATAATGGATTCCATGCACTCGTTCGAATTATATAAGTACGATTGGATTTCGATCGGAAAAGGATGGAAGGACTGAATCTAATTGATTTTTTGGCCGATTGAAAATAGGAGTGGCTGTTACAACCGACCGACCATCATGATGATGGGTCGACGAGATGAAACGATTAATACTCTCAGCTATAGTACCACACTTACTACTTGTACAAATAGTATAAGCAGCAGTAAGAATAATAATAGTAATACTGGTTTCCACCATAGTCGCACCACTATTGCCACATAGCTGCAAGAAGAAAGAGAAGGAACGAGTGCGTGGCGTGGTGAGTGAAATAATCAAATCAGTCCGAGTCTACTGCATGATGATCATGCTGGTGATGCCTACTTCTCGACTGACTATCGTTCAAGACCTCGCGATAAGGATCGTATGACATGTTGCGTGAGGATGATGATGCAATTAGACCTGGCTGCTGAGTACCCGGACTATGACCACCACCACCACCAATGCTTGGCGACGTCGGAATGGAACAACCTTTACCAGCGCTGTTGATCGGAGTGGGCGTGGTTGCCGAGGCTGCGGACCCCTCTGAGCTCGTCGGACTGGGATGGCTCTGACTAAGGTTGGCAAGGGAGTGAAGGGGTGAGGGGGAGGAGTGGTGAGGGTGGTGGTGGGGGTGAAGGAGTTGCTGCTGCTGGAGGTGGTGGAGGTTTTGAAGCTGTTGCAGATTCTGAATGTGATTGGGATGAAGTACTTGCGGTGGTTTGGATGACAGGAGTCGCTCCACGGAAAATGAGACGTTTTGAGGAGTGGGCATTATCGGTTTGTTTGACATTGGATTTCCTGCATTTGTGGGATGACCGTTGGACATGTAATACTGTGATGCGGCATATCTGTCAGAAAACGCAATATAAAATACTTGTAAGTAAAACAATCAGATTAGAAAAATGGGTAGCCGGTGCGAGTTTATATTAAACTTCTGCTTTATAATGGGTTAAAATGTGATAAAGAGAGATTGTAATCCGCTTATTACCGGTAGATTGCAGAAGCCAAGTGTTGTTGGTGATGTAGGTTTTGTTGGTGATAAAGCTGCGCAGCTACGACGGGAGGAATGCCGGGATTCCAAAAGGGAGGGGAGAGTGGTTGGTTGCCAACTCCTCCTAGCCCAGGATGGCCTTGAGGGAGGGGTTGACCCGGGTGACCCGAAGGGGGGAAGAAGGGGGAGTGGCCGGGGAATCCGTAGGTGAGACTCCTCTTGAGTGCGGCTAATCGGGTGCGACAGGCGGTGGAGGTTCGGCGTCTCAACTTCCCGGTGCTCCCTCCGATGAAGACGTCCTCCGAGGAAGGGTCCAACACCCAGTAGTTCCCTTTCCCAGGATCATCGTAATGACGAGGCACCTATGCAAATAAGTAAATAAAAACAAATTATAGTAGGGAAAGTAACCTGCAGAGAGAGGGAGAGACGTTGATATTTAAGGCCATCATTAGATTTTAAATTCTTTCTCTGAAAAACCGACCCAAACAAACTAACCCAACAAAAAGTGTTTAAAACTTTTACAAAAACCCCTGAAATATTTTGGAAACTTAATCGCTGCGGATGATCAGTTGAGCACAAAGTGAAATTTCGTGAGTCTCACATACCCTTTTACGTATACCCTTATTCTCAAAATCTACGCTGAAGAAAGGTACCACAGCGAGCTCGTTTAAAGTCAAAGTAATTTTCAAGTCAAGAAATGCACATTTCGCTACCAAGTCTCTTTTGTTTTTTGAGACGACAGGTAGTGAACAACAATGGTGGTTAAATGGTATGTATTTTACTGGCTTGGAAAATATTTTGTTGGCTTGCCCCAAAGATCAGAGGATCTATGTGTCTAGATTTCTACTGCTAGATAAAGCAAACACAATGGGTTTTGTTTTCTCGAAAATGCCAAGTGACTGCCTGACTGACATCTTATTATTACTTTACTCCTATGATAATGATGCCTTTTCCTTGTTTTGGTCGGTGATGGCTAAATGAGGTATCTGGTGCGTTTGTATCAACGTTTTGACTTTTATGAAAAGCAAACAAATCGAGTGTACATAAATGAAATCGCTTACCTTGACGAAACACTTATTGAGTGAGAGGTTATGGCGAATACTGCAAAATACAAAAGAAACAAGCTTAATTTTAATTAATTAAAAATAGGAAAAGTAATAGAAGAACGGAATTTATACCTGTTTTGCCAGCCTTGCTTGTTGTCTCTGTAGTAGGGAAAGTTTTTCATGATAAATTCGTAGATTCCGTTGAGAGTCAGCCCTATAAAGCCAATCCATAATTTAGTAATTTTCCGTATTCATTAAACTCCGTATCAAATAAATTCTTCGAGTTTATCTGGAACTTACGTTTCTCGGGACTTTGCCTTATTGCCATCATAATGAGAGCATTGTACGAGTACGGCGGTTTTTCGTGCTTCTTTTTCTTGTCGTCCCCATCCTTTGACTCCTTGCCATCTTTCCCCTCTTTCTCCACTTTGTCGTCACCAGTGGAATTATTGTTATTATTGTTCTGCTCATTGTTCTGCTTTGGGGAGTCAGTGCTGGATGACGAGGATACATTTCTGCTCCCCAGATCACTCAAATCCATCACACCTTCGCCTTCCTCATGCTCATTCTCATCCTCCAAATCAATGTCATCGTCGTCTTCAATGTCCACTTCAAGTTGATCATCCTCATTCTCGTCACTTGAGGTGGTGGTATCACAGAGGGCAGAGATTCTGCTGCCCACGACCTCGAGAGTGGAAGTGGGAGGAGGGGATGGGGCCATCATGAGATCAGTTTGATGGTGATGGCTCATAAGAGCACTGAGACGTCGCTTATTGTGATTATTGTGATTAGTTATATTCTCCCGACTTTCACCACCACCGGAGTCACGTCTACCACTCAGTTTGTCTAGGTCTTGGTGGTGATGATGTGCTGAAGATTCTTGGAGGAGTGCTCTGATGGAGAAAGGTGCCATGGTTGGACCGGATGTCGTACCGCTCGCCATTTTAGCCTCTTTTGGCCAATCTCCAACTTCAAGTTTCATTACCATTGCTGCTGCAGATGGCAAGGATGATGGCTGATGACCAGATTTCGAATCCAGTTCCGCAAATGTTGCTTGCACCACTCGTGTGTGTGTGTATATAACTCGAACTTTTGTGTCAAAACTCAGAAACACCACACTTATCACCAACAGCGGTTTGTCTGATTGATCACCAAGAAGTAGATTCACCAGTACACAAAAAGAGAATGAATGAACGTGTCTCTGTTACACTCTGTCGAATTCTTTGAAATGATACACAGATTGAGATGCGTTCAGTTCAAGGGTCCAAATGGAAGTAAGAGGACTTGGCCAAGTGCTCCTCTCTTAAACCAGAGAGCGACTTGTTTCGTGGGATCAAATCTACTATGAACTACTCGCTCAGGTTATCCTTCTTCTTCCACGACGACCCACACTCCAAGAAGAACCAACCAACCCAACCGTGTCAGTATCCGTCCGTCCATATGGTCAATGTAATAAAGATCTCATGGCGTTTTAGATACGGCGACTCGAATGAGATTGGATTGGACGTCGGGAGCAGGAGTACATGCAAGTCGAGCGTTGGGTGAGTTGAACGCTGTGGGAAAAGCGGAGACCTTCCTATTAACGGTGGGTTTTGAGAGCGGAGGCGTCGAGGGAAATGGTATTCAACACAAGCGCAAGGAACGGCTTTGTGAGGAGCGACCTGTGACTGGTTGGGTCGCATTTTGGCCAACCCCACGAGCAACGATCTTCCTGCCTCGTCTAAAATGTGAAACCTCTCCCAGCTTTGCATTGGGCAACACAGACACAGATTACATTTTACACGCACACAGAGTTTGTAAATATCATCCAAACTTAAGCTCTTAAGTCCTATGAAGCCATGTAATAAATATTCTAGTTTGTGGCTGCCGTTGTTGCATGGCTCGTTTCATCGCTGTTTTGGTGGTGAGACGCAAATATATAATGTCCAAGTGTCACTTTCAATGGCTTGCTGTCGCTATCCCATGACTTCTCTCTTCATACATCAACATCACACTCGTCGTCCCTCCTGTCCTGATGGCGAAACACTTTCCTCCGAATAAGGCAATGTGTTCCCAACTGTACTCGTCTAGAGCCAAAATATTGTGGGATTAAAAAGAGTCAAAGACGAAGACGGTCTAATAATGCGGACTAGTTGGTGGAGAGAGAGCCAGGGGAAGAAATCTGCTCTTGGGAAATGTTTCCAAATTCAGCTAAGCCTCTGCAATTTACCAAATTCAGCTAAACCTCAAAGAAGAAAACCTTCAAAAAGCTTTTTTCCTTTATTTTCTTCCAAAATTGAGCCGTATACCCACTCCTCACACCACAACACAATGTGGGAAACATCTTGATTTTTCCGCTTACTTAGGCGCTTATTTGTATTAGCATTATAGTTGATCCTTCCCTTTTGGGCTTGACTGGTTTCTTCAGATCTTCTCAAAGAAATGCAGTGATGCAAACTGTAGTCAAACACCACCAGGCTGCGAGATTGTGTAGTATGCCATACGAAGTCTAATTGAGCATGTACGAGAGAAACCCTAATGACATCTTTTACTCGCAGAATGAAGGGAAATACATAAAAGCATAATTTATTGGTGTGGTCGGAAGTTAGCAAAGCAAATGTAATAAGCAGTGGATGAGCACTACCGCTTATGCTCGCGCTGTGGGACCTCTCTTCTCCAAGAACTCAATTGACTCTCGAGTGTGAACTTGTACTGAAGGGACCGTACAAAAAAGCATGTGATGGGTTTTACTTAAGGGGTAAGTGGTCCTGTTCTTCCCATGTTAATTACAACATGGGGCATATACTTAGGTCACCCAAGGGGGTAGGGGTCATAATTCTCTGAAAATCGACCACATACTTTATGTACGTCGCCAAAGTAGAAAGCAGGGCGCAGAGCAAAGTGAAAAATCTTGTTGCATATTGCGGAGCACAGCAGTTCGTCGAATTCCTCTCGAATTTTACATTCTTGCTGGAATAAGCTTAACACCAACGTTGGTCCGCAACTTTTCAATAAATCTGCCCTTTTGAGGAGAGATGAAAGGAGCTTTGATGCTGAAAAGTGTAAAATCTGCAAAAAAATCCCAGTTTTCTTCGTATGTACATTACAAATAAAAACTCCATTATTTATGTAGACTCGTTCAACCTCTTTTATAGTAGCATTCCTTACTTATGGGATTTATAATATTGGACCCGTCTCATTCTTATTGCATGCATACTTAGAATTATTATCCTGTCAACAGTTTTCTGTCAACTATAAAAACTTGTGGGCTGCATGGTTTGTTTTATGGACAAGGCGGCTCCCTTTACCTGATTCAATTTTTTGGTAAATCTTGCTTCTGATTTCAAACTGAGACAGAACTGGAGCATCTCATAATTCTCATACTTTTACATTTAAATGCATCACAGCACCACGGCAGCTGGCAGTTGAAGCCAGTAGTTTATAATACTCTGAGATTAGAAAAATAATGCCGCAGAAGAACAAAAACCTGAAGACAACTCTTGAGGGTATTACTTTTTAATGCGCACACAAGCATTGTGTATTTTGATCCGTCATCCATGGTGCTAGAAAACAGGATGGCTGCTGCGGATGCATGGAAGAACTTGTCTTCCGAGTTAATCTGTCATTATTCTGTTTCATCATCATTATTAACCCATCACTGTCAATGTGCAGGCAAACACACCGACCGACCAGCCAAACTAATCCTAAATACCCGCAACATAATGCTTCCCTCATCCAACCCAACTACACATATACGCCAAGAATTATTATAAGCAAATACATCCCTTTTGTAAGTTTGGATAATTGAATGTCCTCACAATTGAACGTATATTGAGCAGAAAAACAAATTTGAAAAGGAAGGAGGAAGAAGGTGTGAAAAGTAGTGCAGGCAGAGCGTTGTGTCGCACCGTCCGTGGTACACAAGTATTTTGTAGGAACATGTTTATGTATGGGGCTGATGTGGAGAAAGATATTTCGGATTTCTTTGCGTCGACGACGACGACGAGAGGAGGAGATGGGCCTAATGATAGTGCAGAGGCGCAGCTCGTTTGTAATTGGAAACTCTGTTTGCTCACTGTCACCGTTGGACCAGCGTCCCTTTCACACCTCGCACAATTGAGCTCAACTAAACTAATCAGCAACAATGGTCAATGGTCTGAGGTAAACAGATCCAGTTAATATTTCACTCTGGTTTTCGTAGCCTACGAGCATTTAGCTTGTATTTGTATGTCCGTATATGCATTTATTTAGCAAGGACCAAAATGGTTCCTCTCATATAAAGTTACACGATGGAAATTCAAAAACTCAAAATATTGAATATCGCTAAGCCTATGGCCTGAATGGGATCAAAGCATAAAAATAAATGTACGTTTTGTAAAGGGAGAGAGGGGAGGGTAAGGGTACATTTAGAAAGTTTGGTGGCAGTTTGGTTGCAAATATTTCTTGCTACTCACGTACGTCGTCAATGATATCAATTCCTCGTGCTATAATCCACCTCGTTCATGAATCATTCCATTTTCGGCATCAAGCTTCACCCGACACCTCCAAAATGGTACAATGAGCAGGAAATAAAACACATTTATTTGTATGTACATATTTGTACAACTATTTATAAACTATCCTCAACATGCATGATATTGTTGGTGGCGTAGCTTGATCATTGTTAAATGTTCCTACAGCCAAGTCTCTAAATGTGTGTGCGAGGGGAAACTGTGGATTTGGACAAATCCAATAAATTCAAAATCCGATCATCCTCAAATCTTCTGGAGTGACACCCGTCAGAACAAGGTTGGTTGGGACACTTTGCATCCTTCTTCTCTTCCTCTTGTTCTCGTATTTATATAAACATGTGAACTGTCGAATGAAAACAATGGAAAAATATAATGATACGAAATATTGGTGCAGATGGATTCCATACAAACCAACTACATACATGTATACACACACAGAATAACACATTTTACACATCGTATAGTATTAAAATATATGTATACAAGCTCACCTGCAGCATATTATTATCGATGACGATGCCAATTCTGGTTGAAAACAACATTCAAATTGTCGAAATCGTGACAATAAAATAAAAATATTGTTCTTCGTTTTCCTCTGAGGTGACAGCCTCACATTGCTCGTCGCAAGTATGTACACTGCTTGGGTACAAACTCCAATGTGAAGATTATGCATGAAATTGCCTGAAATATAGAGTATCACAAGGCTCATCTTATTTACATAGGATTCAGTCAAAAAAACAGTGTTGGATTGTGATTGAACACAATAATAACAATCCAGGGAAATCTAGTGGCTAGTTGAGTGAGATATTACCACTAATATTGCGAGATGAGGGGATAGGGTGGCAGAGGAAGATTGGTGTGCGGATACCGTTCCAAATTCAAAAGGTTTGAAAAAAGATAGTCACAATTGATATCGTTTATTCTTTCTTTCACAAGAAAGGAAGGGGTTCTCATTTCCACGGCGAAGAAAGACGACGATGGAAAGAAAGCTGGGCCAGTTATTGTGTTATCATCACTGAAAAGGGAAACAAGTGACGAATGAACGCGACGGCATCAATTGAAACCTAACGCTTTCACAAACTAAAGTAAAAACTGTGTACATAAAACAACAAACAACTGCAAACTGAGTCTCACAATACAAAGTGGTGTTATCACTGTTGGTATTATGTTGACCAGACGGGGCAGTTCAGGACATGCTCTTGTTCCAGGTGTGATGAAAGAGGAGATGAGACTAAAAAAATATTTGGTACTTTCTCAGAATACAAGCAACAAACAATACAATGCGCAGTTTTCTTTGAAATACGAATCCCAGGATCTTGAGGAGTTGTCATAATCGGCAGCCTTGGATAGAAACGCAGATAATCGGAGCAAAGAAAATTTTTGTCATTGAATTTTGAATTTTCATGTCTTATTTATTAGAGCAAAAGAATTGGAATAAATGATGCTACGATTCTGCACACGTTGAATGCTTCCCACATTATTTTATTCATTTCGTTTGAGAACCAGTCTCACGAAAGTAAATGATGCAAAAGGGGATTTAATTTACTGCTTTGCGTTCGTGGTATGATATTACTCGTGCCTTTGTTGTAGTTATTTTATTATTAGGGGATGAATATATTGCATTGCTTCCAGTTCCACGCCACCAGCACGACGACGACGACGACGATGATCAAATGCTGACTAAAAACACACCCTTCTGGCCTCGGTCAATATGTTCCTCCTCTGATCCCTTTGCTCCTTCCTCTCAGTTATGACATCCCTCTCTGCTGCTGCCCCCACAGACAGAATTGATGCTGATTTTGATTGAGTGCCATTACCACAAATCATAATCTTCACAGAAATCGCTGTGGCCAGCAGCAAGCAGCCACATGCAGCAAGTAACCAGATCTCGAACTCTGATTCAAAAATGATAACAATAATTTGGTGGCTGAGCTAGTATTTATTTATAAGCTCCATAATTTGAGTTGGAACA